ACACGACCCCACCCCTACCCTATTTCGCCCAGCTCCAGCCACAATGGCCACCTTCCTGTTCTCCTTCCTGTTTCACGAACACCCTGAGCATACTCTTACCCTCTGCCTGGAATACTCCTCCAGACCTTCACATAGCTACCTCCTCCTCTACCTGCTCTACCTCCTCCTTCTATCTTTGCTCTAATATCACTTTCTCAAAGAGACTTGTTCTGACACCCTCTTTATCACTGCAGACCACCTTCCTTACTCCTCATACTTGCCTAGCTTGTTTTGGGTTTCATTTGCTGTGTTCTAGAGCACTTATCATGTATCGTGCTCTATAATGTTACTGTCTCTCTCTTCTCATTAATAGTGGCAGGGGGTTCTGCTTTGTGCTTAGCACAGTGCCTGGCACATGACAGGAACTCAATACTTGTTGAATGAACAAAGGAACATGGGAGCCACAGTGCAGCTGGGGCAGGCTTTATTCAGAGTGCTGCCCCAAGGCAGACCTTAGCAGACCTGAGTTGGCAGAGAGCAGCCAAGGACCACCAGGGAAGGGAGTTATCTGCCATGTCAAAGGCTCTGGGCTGGACTCTGTAGGGACCCTTGGGATCCAGAGGAGCCTTCTGAGACCTGGGATCAGGGCATCAATTATAAAGTTGGAGAGTGGATAAAAACAGGAAGGCTAACAGAGAGGACACCATTCAGAAAGCTGGCACTGAATCAAGGCCATGGAACTAGAGATGGACAGTATTTGAAAGGTCTCCAAGGTTAGATCTACAGATGTATGTGGAAGGTGAGAGGGAGAGAGGAGGCACAGGGAGAATAAATGGATATGGCATGGAAAAGGAAGCGCTCCTTCAACATCACCATGATTACTTTGAGTCAGAACAGCAGCCAAAGTGCCACAAAGGGGCCTTCTTAGCAGTCAGCCTCCCCCGCCCCCACCCTGAGACTGTACTCATGCCCACCAGGCCTTCCCTGCAAGTTCTGGGGTCCTAAGTGTGCCCCTAACAAATGTCTTCCCTGAATCACAGTCTGCATTTCACAAAACCATTTCTGGATGGCTAGTATCAGTCTGACTCCTCCAAGCTAGTATGTTCAAAGCAAATCTGTGGATGTGCATATATTAAGCATTTACCTTACACTGAACATTCTGTTAGGTGCTAAGAACAGAAAGCAGTTGTAGGGTCCTACCCTCAAACAGCCCTCATCGCAGGGAGAGTGTAAAATATGGAGAAAAACGCACACACTAAACGGTTAAAGGATGAAAGGTGATACCGTGCAATACTTGTTTGCCCAAAACTCACCTAGGGTGGGGCATGAGAAATTGTGAAAAATAAAACAAAACTCATTTGTATCCTTAATTTCGACCAGAGCTAAAGAAGAAGAGAAATCCACATGGGCTGTATACCTTGAGCCAGATATTCAGGAGAGGCCCCCAAGTGGATGGGATTGTGTGGGCAAAGTTGCAAAGGTAGAGGAGACTGGCCTGATGGAGCAGGGTGTCTGGTTCTGGCCACAGTGAGAAGAAGTGGCAGGATGGCTGAAGCATGACAGCACGATTTTAATATGCAAATGTCCCAGGAGAGCCAGCTTGCCACCAAGAGAGGTGGAGGGCCAGGTGAACACAAAATTAACCACTACACTCAAAACGGACCCTACCAGTCACTGAATGGGCAGAACTCGGGAAAAACAAAGGGGGAGCTCCTGGAGTTCTGGGAACACTGAGAACTTGCCAGGAATAACCTCTGAAATCTAGCGGGAGAAACAGATATGTAACTCAGTGCATTGGAGAGCTCCTTGAAAACACACTTTAACCTTTTGCATTCTCTACAGTGAAAAGCTGATCCCTCCTTACAAAATCCTGTATGAACTGTTAGGGGAAGACAGGGAAATGAAGGAAAATATCCCAGAGCTAACTATAGTGATCACACAAATGCCCAAGTCAAACAAGCTGTACTATTAATGAGACATGAATGAACAGTAACTGTTTCCAGGGCTGAATGAAGAAAGGCTGGCCATTTTATCGGGAAGTTGCACAAAGGCCCTTCATCAGTGCCCTTTCTAGTATCAGCTTTCTTCTCTGTAACAGGGCTCTACTTGGGACCAAAGGTAGATTAGATTGAGAGCGTTTTCTTGTAGGCAACAGCAAAATCTACTTTCAGTTAACCTGCAACAGTTGTAGACTCCAACCAGGATACATTAATAATTAGTCAAAAGAGAAGCCCCATTTTTAGTTAACCATTGAATAGGTATCTTCAAACACTGTGACCTAGAATTGACAGTACAGCTAACTCTCTGTTTACCATAGTAATGGGGATTTCAAGAACAGTTAATTGAGAAGCAAAAACAACCCCATTTTGTCCCCAGCAAGGCGTGTATCACTGCATCAGGGATGATGACTTCCAACAACGATCCTCCAAGGCCCTCAGGTTTGCCTGGCATTGTGAGATTTAAACCACACTTTTCTGGCTCAAGAAGCCAAGTGGTCAGATCTTCCACCACACCTAGGTCTGGCAGGTAGCAGAGGACCCTGCAATTTTCCAGGGTGTGGGGACACAAGGAGAGCATGGACAACCACCCATGCCTGACCCAAATAGCAGCTCCCCTATTAAACCTTCAGCAGAACTTCTAGCAAGTGATGTGGGATTCTATAAGGGGAGCATGGCTAGGACATAAGCTCCCAGTGAGAAAGGACAAAAAGGGTCCTAGGTCCACTGGAGGCTGGACCATGAGGCCCAGAGGAGACAGGGAGAGAGTTGGCTGTACTGATATGACAAGCACACCCCAGCAAGCTGCCCAGCATTTCTAGGAAGGAGAAAAGCAAACCGCCGTCCCACCTCGGGCTGCGCGGTCACAAGTGAGGCAGGGCTGGGACCAGTCACCATTTGGGCGGGAGGCCAGCCCCAGGTGCGGCAGGAAGGGGTGACGCTGGCTCAGCGGCTGCAGCTCCTCACTCTGACCCAGCGGGGCCCCTGTGCGGTGCTGGGGGCACAGCGAGGCCTCAGGCGCTGTCGGGCGGGGACACACACACACATACATACAGAAGAGAGACAAGCCATTAGAGGAAGAGGGAGCAGCAGAGTTCGAGCCAAGGCCAATGCCTAACTCGGAGGCAGTGACTAGCCTGCTGACCACATTCTGACCCTGAACATGCAGCTCAAGCTCAAGGTCTGAGGAAACATGAAACCGTTAGAGCTGGGGTCTTAGGAGCATCAGGCAAACCAGTGCAAGGCCAGATAGGACCTATAACCAGAGGCACGATCCAGACCTCCAGGACTCCTGCACCCTGACACACTCTGCACCTGGAACGTCCCACAAACTACTGATGAAATAGGACACTATTTCAGCTCCTCACTTTGTAACCTTTAGCTTCTTAAGAACAATGACTGCAAAACGCAGGTAGAAGGGCAGCTCTCCATGACCATATAGCACAGCCACTTTCCAAAGAGGGAGCCAAGGAGGCTAGAGACCAACTCAACTCACAGGGGCTTTTCTGGCGGATGGAAAGAGGCTCCTTGAGAGAAACAGACAACTTTACTTCTTAAAGGGCAAGCTTCATTTTTTGGTGCACCCTAGCCCAGAGGGGGACCTCTAGAGATGTAGGTTATATTTTTTCAAACACATTCACGAAGGTCACGACCTTTGTTTACGCAGAGCCATTCAAACTAAGTGAGGAAATGACAATAACCAGAAATGGGACAAGAAAACACTAACCTGTCCAAGCTTGATAATAATTTAGAATTCCTAGAGACAGGAAGTCCTAACTTTACTATGCAAATCTCCTATTTGACACATTTCTCAAAATGCTGCTGGTGGCTATACAATGTCAAATCGAAACCTTCAAAAGCAGGAAATGTTAGTAACTGGTATGGTAACAGAACCACTGACTAGGCAAGGGTCTACAGGGGTTTGTCAAACTACAAACAACTTCCTCTAAAAAAAAGTTTTCTGTTGTGCTGACATAGTGTTACTGATTCTAAAAAGAATGGGTATGGGGACCTGCACTTTTATGTCAACAGACAGAACACACAATTTCTGTATCTCCCACCCCAGCCCGCACTGCAGGCGACCAGGGCCACCTGTCTCAACATCGCACTAGAAAGGCAGAGGGGCGCCATTCCTGAGACCTCTTTCAGTGAGCAACCAGGATGCCCATGCAGCTCAGAGAGACCAGCTTCCATCAGGCCCTGAACTCTTACTTCTGTTCCCTGACATCTCTTCTGAATGTTGGGGAAAGACTCAGAGTAATCCGACATGCAAAACAAGAAAACAGAGTAGCCCTACCCAGCAGACCCAGACATGCAACCAAATCACCAAGAACTCTTGTCCACCTGTTGGGAAAGGAGGCCTTGCCCACACGAACACCTGAAGAGGTTTCCCCTTCTTGCTCTTTAAGTGAGAAAGAAACATACCACCTCATGCCCTGTGATGCTGAAGTCGAAAATATACTGAGCCAGTCAGGAGACCTGCAGCCCGGTCATTAGAAAAACATTTGATAGGGGAGTAAAGAAACAAGATTATCTAGAAAGAGCATTTGTTTCCTCCTAGCTACCAAATACAGTCAACTCCCCGCTGTACGGTAATCCAATCCCTTCACTATAGTCCTTCCCCAAGGAGGAAGCAGGAGAGACCTGCCTCTATGCCTATCTTCTCCCTGAGGGCTAGTCCTGCCCAGATGTACAGAAGCAGACCACAGAGCAGCAGAGGGTTCAAGACCCCCAAGCCAGGGCAGCCAAGGGGCCGAAAGTCCCTTCATAACAATAACTGGATGCAGACCAATAGCACTGTTGTCTGGGCTGTTAGAAGCTGAAAATGGAGGACAGATGCAAGATCTTATTCAGCCCAAGGGCACCCACCCTGTTGCCCAGCGCTATTGCATCTGCAGCCAGCATGCTCTGGCAAGGGGTGGGGAGAGCTTCCACTACTCACAGCCATGGTAGGAGGCTGGCGATCCCCCAGCCTTGCCGTACTCCTGCTCCGAGTAGCTGGTGGAGAGATTGGGCTGGCTGGAGCCACGACCGAAGGTGATCTGGTTGCTGCCCATGCCTGTGGCAACCTGGGCCATGCGCTCTTTGGTTTTGAGAGCCTGGACCCTCTCAGCCTTCAGCCGCTCTTCATCCTTGAGGAGGGCCACCAGCTGCTTTGACTTCTCGCGGACGTTGATGCCCTGGTCCTTGCCATCACGGTCGATGTACTGGAAGTCCTTCAGGGTCTGGATGGCAAAGATGTTCTCTCGGCACTGCTGGGCCACCCGCTCAGAGCCTGTCTTGATGAGGTAGTCCAGTAGCGTCAGAGCTTTGTACACATGCCGCCAGTTCTTGCCATGATCATTGAGCCGCTTCCACACCATGCTCATGATCTCTGAGAAAGCCACCACATTGTAGGTCAGGTCCGCGATCTCAGTCATCAGAGAGCTGGACGGGCCCCATGGGTCATTGGAGGTGGCTTCTCGAACTTTTATTTCGGCTTCTGAGTAATTGTTCACAATGTTTTTCATCTGCCGTCTGATAGATGATGTCGTCATCTTTATTTTCCTCGTTACAAATGTAAAGCCTTTCAAAGAGAGAAACTTTCCTCTCCTGGACAAGTCTGCACCCTGCGAAGGTTCAGGTTCAGTCTCTGTAACAGATTTGGAGCAAGATCCCTGACAGTCATTTCCTCTGCTGGAGGCTCAGGTCCAAGAAGCCAGAAGCCATGACCTAAAGAAATAAAAACACTCACTGTGCCATGAGCTCCTCTGAGACAGTACGAGGCTCTGGTGCAGACATTTTTGTAAACAGCAGGTACTGGGGCATGTCAGGGAGGCAGTAAGTGGACATATCCAGCCTCTCTAGGATGAAAAAGATTCCATTCTTCTTTCAAAACTAAGATAAGATCAATATTACAGGTTACTAATGAATAAAATTTAAACTCAAGTTTAGGCCTCTGGAAGAAAACAAGTAAACATTATAACTACTTTCTATTTTTGTTCTATTTTCAAAATGCTTCCATTGGAATGGCTCTTCTATGGGTTGTATTTTCACCTCATGGCAAAAGCCAGCTATAGAAGAATCATAACGTTGGAGGAAGTTGATCCTGACAGATTTTAAATTATCTTTGGGAGAAAGAAAGCCTCTTATTTCAGATATATCTTAACTCAAAAATGCCTATCGACCTCTTCAAAATTGCTTAACATTTGGCTTTGATCCATAGTGCTTCTAACTGCCCCAGGGACTACTTGATGAACATCACTTTCCTCCTGACTTTTTATAAAGGTTCCCAACTATTCTTCCAGAGCCCAGCTAAGGCCCTCCACTGGGCTTTCAAAAGTCTCCAGCATCTAGCCCAAGCTTAAAGTATACCTAAGAAATAACCTGGCTCTATTCCAATCCCCTCATGTCCAGAGGAAAAAACTGAGGCTCAGGGTTATGCATTAACTGGTTCACCAAGTCTTATGCCACAAACACATCTATTCTCTCTCCAGAAAAGAAACATTTACCAAGCTAGAGTGAGATCCATGTCTCTGACAATGGGCTCTGGTCCACAAATTTGGGGACCCCCATTAGTCTTGTTCACTAATGAACACCCAGCACCTAGCAGGGTGCTTGACATGGATATAAACTCTGCTGAATAAATGCATGAAATAGATTAAAAACAATGTCTCTTTCCTCAGGAAGGCCACGGTCTGGCAGGAGATGGAAGTGAACACAGGGGAGCTAAAGATGGAAAGCCAGAACAACTGCCTCAGCTAGCTGTTGGGGGCTGTAAAGGGCACTCGCAGAAAGGTTTTTTGCCAGAAATAACCCTCAGTATGGTCTTCAAAGCTGAGGAGACCTGAGTGGATAAAATGAAAGTGGCAACTTAGATTACTCCTCATCTATAGAATGAGGACACGGGCTCAGAAGACTTCCGGGACTGCCAAAGATAAAGCAGCACAGCTGCGGTCTTGATACAAAGCTCCTCCAGCATCTACTGCCCCATCCCCAACTACTGCCTACTGGAGTTCTCAGGCCAGGCTCACTTAACGCTCATGAAAACCTTCCGAGTAAAGATTATTCATTCCCTGGTACAGATGAGGAACCTGAGGCCACCTGGCTAGAACCCTCCTTCCTCCTCTTGCAATGGCCTTTACTCTCTGCCAAGCTGCTGTGCTGCTTCTGCCAGAGAAACAATGAATGGCCCCCACCTTCAGACAGGTAATGGGCACTTCGAAAGAATAAGTTAACAAAAGGTGTCAGGAGTGGGGAAAAGTCACAGGAAATGCAATTAGTGATCATTCATCACATGTAGCCATACAAATAAGAAAGAGACAGAGCAGGTGACAATATATCTGCTCTGGCCAACAAGGCCTTCTCTCCACCCTCCAATATGACAAGAATTCTTCCTCCACAGAATGGGGCTTCAGTTGAAGGCAGTTATATTCTGCCTCTACACTATTTGACCAGCTCTCATAAATCCTCTAAAGCCTGTCAAAGGACCAGGGATAAAAACTTTCACAGTGACCTGCACATTTGATTTAATTAGGTTTTTCATTCACAGAAACATTCACTGCTGGCAGAAATGGAATGGGTCTCAAAAAGGAAAAAAGAACACTTTAATTTTTAATGAGTACCTCCCGGCTTAAAGTGCAAATATGCACCAAAATCAGTAGTAACATTCAGAAGTACTTAATGCTCAGGGGCTCTACAATGTGCCCAGGACCGCCAGGCACTTCCGTTTGTCATTCCGTTTGGTGCACGGCAGGTACAACCGTCCCACATCTTGGAGAAGCAGGAATATACCTCTGAAGAGACCCTGAGCCACCTTCCTTTCTCCAGGTCAGGAAACAGCTTCTATTAAGCATGAAAGCAAATGGTCCTTGTAAAAGGGCCCCAAATGGTTGAAAACATAATAAAGAATATATACATATCCTGAAGGAGAAATGATGCCCTGGGCTCTGCTGCCCCTCCTCTAGTCCTGCCACCTTGGAGGGTGGACCAAAACGGTAGATCTGTTGTCGTCCCAGGGAGAGGCTAGGGAGAAGCTGTGAGGCCCAGGCAGGGCACCCATGGAGCCTCTCAGGCGTTTGATGGCAAAGGAAAGGCAGCAATTCCTGTGAGCAAGGGTTGAGGTGCCTCTGCTCTCCCAAATTCAGAAAGGAACTCCAAACAATTTAAAAATAAGGGCTACAGACTAAGGCAGGGGCTTCCTCTAACAAGCTCAACTTGTAAAGATATGTTAGCGGTCTCTTTGAAACAGGCTTCGAGAAGAAAGAAAAAGCTAATAAAATATTTGTTATAGTCAGAAAAAAATATATAGTCTATGTAATTTGAATGGCTGCCTGTTACTTTCTTAAAGCCACAGACAGGAGCCATTTTCAGGACCGACAAATGGTGAGAAGAGCAAGATCTGGATATAAGACACCAAATGCACCTCCAAGAAACTATTTTCAAGGCCAACTGGATTACGTGCCTCACCAGAGACTTTGCCAATTGAAACTTCCAATGCTGGCTGAGAACCCAGTGATAGGTGAGTGGGCTGCAGGACCACAGCAGTGCCAGCCTGGGCACTTGGCTCTCCAAGCCACCTCCAATGGCAGACGTGGACCTCTGTGGCTCTGTTGCACTTGTCCATGTGGACCTCAGACCTCATTTTCCTATTTTAAAACTTCTCCCCCTCAATCTTAGGCAGATAAACAAACATTTCCCCTGCCCACAAACATATGCCAGGTATTCTCTCCCAAAAGTCAGCCCAAACATACACCATCCTCAAGTACACATCCTGTGTTATTTCTAGAATCTGAGTTTTGTTTTGTTTTCAGTCTTTTTTTAATAGATTGCATGTTCCACTTTCCAAACTTTCCTTCTCAATTTGCCAGTTTTCTTCTGTTTCCAACTTGCTGAGCCTGAACTAATGTACATACAAAAGCAACTAAAACGGCATAATTTGTTACCTCTGGGCTCTTCACTCAAGCTTGGGGAAATGTGGTCAGCTCACAAACATCCAATCATTTATTCAGGACCTCCAGATATAGGGAGGACAGCAGGCAGGGGGACATTGTCAAAACAGGAAGCAAAATAAACTTTGTTAAAGTACAAAAAAAAAAAAAGTGGGAGGATTCGTTTTCATAAAATATATACTGACAGTGAAGGGACAAATGCCATTAGAGTATCAGTAACTAGAAATGCCTTTAGAAATCTATTTCTATCATCAGGTATTACTTAGAACTATTTTATGATAAGTGGTAATGAAGCATGTGAGTTTATACAATTTTGTTACAGCTTTACACATACATATACATATATATATATATACATATACATATATATATATATTTTAATGGAGACAACAATATAACTTCAAGTTAGGATTTTCTATGCAAGGTAAACAAATCTTTCTTCACATACCAAACACAGCTGCAACAGAAACCAGAGGATGCCCACTGATTTCCCTGGATGAGATAACCAGGAACTCCCACCATAATGCCCCACTCCAGACTCCACCCTGAAAAGCCTGTTTTGAAATTGTATTAATTCATAATTCATTTTATTAAGAATGAGGGTTTCTGATGCACATGAGATAACCATTGGTAACCACAAAGAGTTGATAAAATCCAACCAACAGCAAAGAAACTGAACATATCAGTTGATATGGGGAAGTCTCACCATGGGCAATGCATATTTCTGTCAGGCCTTCCTAAAGGCCCTCGAGAACTCTGGAGAGATTCGACATCAAAAGTCACAGTCTATTCATGGAAGGGGACACTCGCTTTTCTACAGTTAGATCCCAGTACTAGGGAAGGATCTTTAAGCCAAAGAATATTTTCTGGAAGTGGAATCTGTTGTTTCTGTCTATGCATCATCCGTATCCCCTTATCTTAGAAAGAGCCTTGGTCTTCCATGGGGAAGGTGGCCAGGAGCAGGTCCAGGCCCAGTCAGTTTGACCACCATGGCTAGCCAGCCTACAGTGGCTAGTTCAGGGGCAGGCTGACAATCCAGACTAGACCACCTGGATACCTGTCTGGATGGGCCCTGAAACCACTGGGAAAACAGCAGGTTGCTAAGCTGCTAGAAGCCACCACAGGGCCAGTGTTTACCTAAATCTGAAGCCGAGGCAAAAGCAACCAAGGAGCCAAGAGGAGGAGCAAGACAGAACATCCTCTGGACTCTGGGTCCACCTTTGCCTGAAGCCATTTATCCCTTGGACTTCTCAGATGCATGAGCCAATGTGGTCATTTGTAACCTATAGCAATGTGTGCTTTTATCATTGGCAACATCAGCCCTGTTAAGTTTTGCGGGGAGAGAGATGATTACTGCTATTCCCTAATCATAGGTCTTGATCCTTGATCCCTGAAAAGCCACTGCCAGAATCTCTTTAGGGATTTGGTGTAGACTCTGACAGACAGAGTGAACATCTTTGTAGCACATGTGCAAAGAGCCCTGTGCAACGAGCGCCCTGAGAGAAAGAAAACCAGCAACAGCCAAACAACAAACACAGAGAGTACTGGCTTCTCCAGAGCCTCCAAGATGGCCTCAAGTAGAAGTACGGGGACACCAACCAGACTCTCCTGTCACACCTGACCCATGGCCCCAGGCTGACTGAGGAGCTGTGTCCTCCCAGAAAAGTTAGTCACTCCTCAAAATTCAGGCACCCACAGTCAAAGTCTGGAATCATCACTCTTTTTTGAGAGTGGCTTATGATGGTGACCATCAAGTAAGAGCTGGATCATCACATTTACAGGGGACAAGCTGCGGAAGGAAATTCTGGAACATATGAAAACACACTGAGAATTTGAAAGACAGTGGAGACTGGAAGTAGACTGAATAAAATAGCAAACATAACAAAACTAAACAAACAAAAAATTCCAAGGCTAGAGTGAGGCCCCTAGAGGCAAGAAGAATTCCATAAAAATGTGCTCCAAGGACTTGCAGAGCTGGGTGGGGAAATTCCTTCTAAATCTAGAGTTCCCATTATGCGGGAAAGAAGTTTTCCTGGTTCCCAGCAGCACAGATGGGTCCCTGGTCAAAGCTCATGTGTCTCTCTGCCAATGTGCTTCTGTCATGCCAAGGCACATGGCTGACCGTGTGCTGCAAAGATGGTTACCTTGTCAGGGTCTACAGATTTTGACAGTGGCTTTTCAGGAAGCAGGGATCAAGACCAGCAATGAGGGAATAACAATAATTGTCTCTCCCTCTCTCCAAAAGCTAACGGCCACAGGTCAATCGATAATGACTGTGACAATCCAGTCATAATCAATAAATATTACTGAGTGAACTGAACTGAAAATCTTCACCCCAAAAATCTTTAGCTCGAACTATTTATGTCTGGTAGCTTCCTGTGACTTCGCACGTACTTCATTTTTCTCCAGGCAGACAACAGGGAGAGCCGTGGGAAGAGGGTATAGCCATCTTTCCTGCAGCATCACACTGGTGTAGCTCACTCACCCTATACATGAGAATCTGCTGGGGACACTGTTCAAACCTCCATACACACAGTAACTGGGGATAATGCTGAGAGGACACAACACTCTTCCCAAGCTCTCATAGTGATTATAGGCATACTGAAGTGAGTGTCATGTGTCACTGTATGACACACAGAAACACTAAGTTTGTGAAATGCTTTGCAAGCCTTGATTAGATGGTTTTAATCTTCCTGTGTGTGCAGTCTGTGAGTGAGGCAACATCTCCACCTTCTTACTGGGGAAAAGGGTACCACAACCATTACAAGGAGGCTCAGTCAGGGGATGGCTGAGATCGAAGCTCACATGACTAAACTGAGCTGACTCTCCAGAAGACAACAGTCCAGTTAGGACAATATGGACAGTGCCACATTCTTCTCCACAGTAATCATTTCAGCCTAAAGAGAAAGGACTATTATGACTCTGCATTAGCCAAGCTAGCAATAACTTAAGAGCCTATAACTACTACTCATGCAGACAGGAGAAATGGAAAAAAAAAAAAAATCCTTTACACACACCAGAAAAAGAAAGATTAAGCCAAAAAAAAAAAAAGCAGGCCTCTTCACTAACTGAACGTGGGCATCTAAATTCCAGTGATCTCTTGTTGGGTAGAGAATTAAAATTTATATCACTACACAAAAAGTGTGCTTTAAAAAATTTGCATTCATATGCTTAAAGAATTTTGAGAGAAAAGAAACATTTTAGACTTGACTTGTACATAATAAAGCAGGTAAAGTTAAACTACCCATGCACTCTCCTCTCTCTTCCAGGGGTGGAAGAGCTCGAGGGAGGTGTCAGTTAACCTAGGGTCTGGTGAAGACCTAAAGGACTGACCAGGTAAAAACACCCTGCCCTCGTGCTGGCCAATGCCATCCTTCACACAAGGCAGGAGGTCTTCCCACAAAGAGCCACTTGAGAGGATTCTCCCAGGATTCGACAGTCATTGGAACAAGCACAGGAGAGTTCTAATTAGATGTCAGACAGCTTCCTATGACTTCACGTGTCCTTAATTTTTCTAAAAGCAGAAATCATGTACTGAAAACACACATAAGGAATTTCAATTTTCTTCACCGATGTATACACCATTTAGTCTCTGAGAAGAGCAGCCTGCAGGTATAGACTACACAGGTATTGAAATGCAGTCATTTTTAAAGATTATGTGAATGAAGCACCACGGTCAGGAACCTGGTTCTGGCCATTTTGGCTGCACCCTGGGTATCAGATGTGGTCACTTAGCCTCATTCCCCTATCTAGAAAATGGGGATGTGACAAGCTATGCCTCCCTCACAGGGTCAAGGATCAAACACCCTGATGACTGGGCCAAGGGGATGCATAATCATGCCATAAAGGAAAAAAGAAATTCTTTAATATCCCCCTTCTACTCCTCAAAGTAGTTTTGCAAATGACCAATCATGGACAGCTTTCTTAAAAAATCATGCCACAAAGCAAACAGTGTGGAGTGGCACAGCACACAAAATCAGAACACAAGAAACCAGAGATCTAAGTCAAGCACTGTGACCACTCTGAGACACCAGGCAAGCCAGTGACTAGACTTCTAAAATGATAGGGTAGACTAGATGCTTTCCCCAAACTCTCAACTCCCAGGATCCCCTTTCTGACAAATAGCTCAATTCCCTGCCATCTTTGGAGTGTCATGGAGAGTCCAGGCTCCCAACCAGACCCAGTAGCCGGTCGAACTCCAGCCACAAGCCTATGGCAGATTTTTCTCTTGGCCTGTAGGGGCTCTGTGGTGGGCAAAAAGGTAGGGCTTCCCTTGGTCTCCAGGAAGTATAAAGCACAGCCCTCAGACCCTTCCCGCCTCCAAGGACAGGGGCTTGTGTGTGATCCCTGAGCCAGAGAGTCTCCGTTTCTAATAAACTTTGACTAGAAATACCCACTAATGACAAATAGCAATGCCACCCAGAAACTGGGAACCACGGAATAGGAAATTTGATGGCTTCAGGCACCCACCCCACCCCACGGTATGCCCAGCTATGGATTACGATTTGATCAGTACAATTTTCCAACTTGAGACGTTTAAAAAAAATGCAGAGCTGCATGGGAAATTTTAGCATTCCCATGATTTCATACTTAATTTAGACCTGGCTGGTCACTGTGGTGACGCTAAGTGCTGGGCTGTCACAATCTCCTGAGGAACCAGGAAGAGAGTAGGCGCAAAGGGAGAGTGAGCTATGGATACCCTCAGCCAGAACCCCACAGACTTGGTTTTGGGCATGGCAGTGACCTAACATTTTCCTCAAAAGGTGCTCACACTAGCCAAGAAGAAGCTTGCAGGTAAAGAACAGGTATTTCCATACTGTGTAAATATAAAACCAAAGCGATGAGAAAAATGTGTAGTTTGCTCACCTCTGATCTTAAATCAGCAGTTCTTGGAGGTCATGTCAAACTCTCCCCATGGCAGCTGTGGAGGAATGAAGCAGATTTCTATAGGCAGCTGAGGGAGTTACTTCTACGGACTTCAGGTAGTGATAGCTGATGTCCACTAATCCTCACAGGGTGGCCCTCTCCCCACCCCAACCCTGAGCAGCACAGGGTGGTAAGCCAGAACCCAAGGGACAGGCTCACCTCAGCAAAAGGTCAGAGGATAAAAGCCAAATTATCCTAAATATGGATGCTGGTTAAGACTTGAAGGTTAACTCTTATGTGCCACCAATGTACTGTATTCTCTTACCGCTTTCCTTATTACTGAAACAAACCACTCACTGTCACTTCAGAGAAACCAGCACACCAAACTGGCTCCTAATTCATATTCTACCTACCTATTTCTTCTGCGTGCCATTCTTCTCTGTGACTGGCTCTTGTCATTTAGATCTCGGTTTAAACATCACCTTGGAACCACCAGTCAATCATTCTATCAAATCACCAGTTTTAATTTTCAGCCGAGCCCATCTCTCCATTGGACATTTTCTTGTTTATGTTCCTGTTTCTTAATCTCCTGTGCCCTCCATGCCCCCTATAAGAGCAGGGCCCTGCCTGTCTTCATGGCTGTCTCCTCAGTGCCTAGAACAGAATCTGGCACACAGTGAGCATTCAATAAACATTTGCTGAGTTAATGAACACAGAGGCAAATCAATAAGAAAATTAGAAAAATTATCCTTAATCCTGTCTACTTAGAGACCACCAGAGTTAATACCTTAGGGCCTAGTTTCCCAGTTTCTGTTTCCCTAATGGTCTCTATCACTTGAATTATCACTTGAATTACAACTGCAGTACTCCACTGTTCGCCCAACAATAAACTGCCTGAAGACAGGGACTGTCCATATCTGGTGTTTAATAAATGCTCACCACGTGAATGAAGAGCCACAGAGTCCTGGGCCCCACAGGACAGCACATATGCCACAGAGGAGAGATCACTGGATGCCACTGACAGCCTGGACTCAGAAGCAAAGCCAGCCAACCTCAGGCAGAATTTGAGGCTAAAATGGGTATTTCTCATTCTGACCACATAGGTCTACATCCTTTCCAGTGAAGTGATCTGAGACCAGTTGATGAGCTTTTCTGAGCCTCTATTTCTGTCCAATGGAGGTAACAACAGCTGTTGCTCAGGGTTACTGTGAGGAGGTGCCTAGAGAAGGACCAACAAGCAAGTACTAGGTGTCCAAATATCTGCCTCCTCTCCCTAGCTCTGCCTCCTCTCCCTAGCTCTGCCAAACATCTAAAAGGATGTTTCTCAGCATGTCTCTAAGACAACTCAAAGAGAACTACGGAAGCATTCCACAAAAAAAAACATGCTTGGTAGAAACTGCCTCCCAGTTTGGCAAATGGTATCATCCAAGCATCTCTTTCTTGCACATCCATACGACCTGTTAAACAGTCACCAACACCAGCTCTTCTCCTTTGTGGCTGGGATTTCCAAGAAAAGTCTCAGAAATTATTATTATATTAGTAATTATAATAGGATAGACTTAAAGAGTAATAGAAAATAGAAGAGGCTCTCTAACTAGAAGCTAGCCAACACTGAGCCCTGACGATGCCAGGCATATTCTAAGAACTTCATGAGCCTACTCATTCAATCTTCCTAACAGTCCCACAGGGAGTTGTTATTATCCTCATTTTACAGAAGAAGCAGCTGAGGCACAGAGAGGTTAAGTAACTGGCCCAAGTTACACTGCCACAAAGTACCAGGACCAGAACTTGATCCCAGACCTCTGGCTTCTGGTCCCATCCCCGTAACCCCAAGTTCTTATTCTATTTGGCTTTAGACAAATCCAATGCTTAAAGTCATAAGAATAATGAATTTTTCCTTGCTCAATCTGCAGGCCTGGAAAGGTTCCTCTTGTCTAGATGTTTAAGAGGCCAGGAGGTGGCAGAGAAGCAACTGTTTTCCTACCATCTCCTTGTTCAGCTGGCCAAAGGAGATCCTTTCCCCAAACAGTTCACCAAGTCAAGCAAGTAGGGGCAAAGATGCTGGAGCTGGAAGGATCTTAGTAGTTGCCCGCAAGTGGACACCGAGGCCTAGAGAGGTTTAGTACTGTACTAGGACCAGACCCTGGCCTACCCAGCTCTTTTCAGTGAGGCAAACAAAAGGAAAGAAGCCTTAATGTTCTTCAAAGAAAGCTTCACATTGAAATGTGTAATATTCTACAGACTAGCAATACAATGAAATCAGTCAGGGTGAAAGTCTGAAATACCACAAAGACTCCATAACTATTTTTAAAAATTTGTTCTTTAGAATTCACATCCTTAAGAAATGATGTCTCTCTGGCTATAACCGTGTCTTCTACTAAATCAGTCACATCAACTTTAACAACCCAAGAAGTCTGCATTCCTTTGAAATAGCTGTCATCGTCTGAAATTCAACTCAGAAAAAAATGGGTCTCAATGCTGAAAGGTAAACTTCCTTTTTTGGTACAAAATAAAAATATCTCTCTCCTTCCTCCTCTGCTGGAGACATTCTCAGTGTTTTATTTACTCTGCAATACTGATTGGCTACATTAGGAGGAAATGTTCCTTTTAACTCTTATGTCAGCGTCTGCCCCAGAAAAGGTGTGAGGCAACCCTAACGTCTTCTTGCTGCTCCTCTGTTTTCTAAATTTTTATTATGTACTTTTGGGTATATATAAAAGAATAAGTGCAAACCACATGTGAAGCACAAATAAAATGAGTGCCTATGACCCATGGCCCCCTCAAGGCCTACAGCATGACCATGATGCCCACCCAGGGCGTCCTCCCCGTCCCTACCTACCCTGCCTTAGGAAAACTGCTACAGTTCTGGGTTCTTCGGTATCTTGCTTTTTAAAAAAGAAAATAATTTTATAAAAGTGTTGTAAAGCTAAACAATATATGGTCTTCTCCAACTTGCTTTTGTCACTCGATATTATGTTTCTGAGATTCACTCATGTTACTATGCATATAGCTAGCTGTAGTCCATCTATTTTCACGGCTGTATATTTGACTATGTCCATATTTAACAATTTTCCCACTCTTTCTCTTGTCAATGGATATCTGGACTATCGCGAATTCTGCTGGTATGTGCATGTGTGTCTCCTAGGACACAAACGCCAAGTTTTTCTAGAGTACATTCCTAGGAGAATTGCTCATTCATAGGATACACAAATGTTCTTTGCACTATATTTTAAAAATATTTTTGCTGTCCTGTTATAACGTCATTTTATCATTACAGTGCAAGGATGTATTATTGGTTTAGTTGATGCTAGATGTGACGCTCAGTGTGTAAAGAACAATGCCAACAGGCACAGGGATTTAGGGATTTAGGGAAGCAGAAGATGGGGATTCCAGTCTAGACTGGGGGGACAATAACCCTACACAGGACATCAAAAGCAGATTCCAAATTGGGTGCTCCAGGCAGCTCTTCAGAATATCACGACAGGCTGTGGGATGTCAAGTGCATCTGAGGCAATGCCATTAAAGAATGAGAGGGATGAGCAGTGTATAAAGAGGAGATCACTCAGGCAGAGCAAGGGAACAGCAGGTGTGTGGGAGTGCGGGGGTTGGGAGGACAAGAGCAGTCTGCCTGAGGCTGCACCATAAGGGCCTTACTCAGTGCACCAAGAAATTTGGACTTGCCAATTTTGGTTACTGGAATTCAATATTTTTGCCATATCTTAGAAATAATAATAATGGCTAACACATACAGGCAAGTTACTATGTGCCAGGCACTGTCTTAGGAATTATCTCATTAAATTCTTACTATAAGTGGCACTATTGTTTGCCTTGGCATTTGGGGGAGATGTCTTTTTATTTTTGAGATATAATTCACATAGCATAAAATTCACCATTTTAAAGTATACAATTCACACTTACAATTTAGTATATTTACAGTGTTGTACAAACATCAGTACTGTCTAATTCTAGAACATTTTTCATCACCCCAAAAACGAACCCTGTATTTGCTAACAGTCACTACTCTTGCCCTTTATACACAGGCCCTGGTAACCATGAATCTACTTTCTGTCTCCATGGATTTGCCTATTCTGGACATTTCATATGTATATAATCATACAATATGCAGCCTCTTGTGTCTGGCTTATTTCACTTAGCATATTTTAAAAGTCCATCCATGTTACATTATACATCAGTACTTCGTTCCTTTTTATGGCTGAACAATTTTCCATTGTATAAATATATTACATTTTATTTATTCATTTATCAAGTGGAGAACATCTGGATTGTTTCCATTTTGGAGGGCTATTGTGAATGCTGCTGCTGTAAACATCTGTGGACAAGTTTTTGCATGGACATATGTTTTCGGCTCTCCCAGGTATATACTGAGGAGTGGAATTGCTGGGTCATATAATAGCTCTATGTTTTTAGGTTTTTGAGGAACTGCCAAAGTACTATTGCATTTTTAAGATAAAGAACTATTAAAATGAGTAACATTCAACTGTGTACCGCTTAAAATGATTTAGAAAATACTGCTGAAGGTGGAGCTACTGAAGTTGGTTTCTGTTTTGTTTAGGAGTAGAGGAGTGATGCTGTCAGGATGGTATTTCGGAAATCCTGATCAAGGAGTGGTAGGGTGAGAGGACTGTGGGAAAAGGGAGGACAGTGAAGGCAGGAAAACCACTTAGATGCCCATAACAGAGGCAATGAGAATAGACTAAGGTCTGACTGAATCCAGGTGCAGCAAGAGAATGGGAAAAGGCAGGAGACAGACATATAAACACAGAGCGAGAGACTCAACCCCTGACAACCAAATGTCAGTGTTGGGTGGAGCAACAGGGGTGGAGTAGCCAGGAGAGAGAGAGAGAGAGACATCCTTAATAGAAAGTAAAGGTGGGGAGGATATGCAGGTTTCAGGAGAAGCAAAGGGACAGATTAAGTAGTTTTATTTCAGACAGATGTGGCTGGAGTCAGGCATGAAGAATGAAGATAGCCAAGTAGCAGCTCGCACCTAGGGCTGGAGAGGGTTGCTGAGGCCAACATGTCCCTCTGGGAGGAGG